TCCATTCAGGAAGTCCAACGAACCCCAAACAGGATAAACTCCAAAAGAAAACCACCAAGACTTATCATCATCAAACTCACCAAAACCAAAGACAAAGAAAGAATCATGAGAGCAGCATGGGAAAAATGAAAAGTTACCTACAAGGGGCAACCAATAAGTCTAAGCTTGGATTTCTCAGCAGAAATCATGCAGGTGAGAAGACAATGGGATGGTATATATAAAACCCTGAAAGAGAAAAATTTCCAACCAAGAATTATGTACCCAACAAAATTATCCCTCAAATATGATGAGGAAATTAGGACATTTCCAGATAAGCACAAATTAAGGGGATTTGTTAAAACCAGACTACTCTTACAAGAAATGCTAAAGGGAACCCTTTGGAAAGAGAAGCAACAACAGCCAACAACAACTGACCATTAACATACATGATGATATAACCCAGAAACCAACCCAGCTATGTAAGTATCCGAAGTAAATAAGCCTACAAGATTGTAAACAGGGAACCAGAGACATCAACTGAAAAATGAAGACAACTACAAACCAAAAAGAGGGGAAAAAAACTATGTCATTACAGAACTTATAGATGGTAGGGAAGTCAAGACAAACACAAGATAGAACAGACTGTTCTAAATGTGGGAAGAAAACTATAAATCACAGGGTAACCTCAAAGAAAAATGATAAACCTTCACATCAAAAAAGAGGACCAGCATAAATATACAGCAAATAGTAAAACAACAACAATGAAGAAGTGATAACATGATTCATAAATGAAACAAGCTCAGAACAGAAAATTAAATGGAACAAAGAAATCGACACCATGAAAAAGCACATAGCAAAAATGACAGCAACAAATTCGTATTTGCCGATAATTATATATCTGTCAAGGAGCTTAGATCTCTAAGATTTATAGCAGAAGAGTGGATGACCACTATGGTACATACACATAATGGAATGCTATGCAGCACTAAAGAATAATGTGGAGTCTGCAAACACTGCATGATATGGATGAACTTGGAGGACATTATGCTGAATGAAATAAGTCAATCACAGAAGGACAAATACAGTACTAGTTCGCTGTTGTGGAGGGTCAAGGAAAGGTTTATATATGGAGGGAAACTTTCTTTGTTGGTTGCCAGGGGTGGGAGGGGAGGGAACACTGAAAAAAAAAAAGCATTGACCCATGTCACTTTAGCTTTGTGTATCTCACTGTACATAAATTATATTTCAATAAAATGCATTTTAAAAAAAAAGTATTTCTACCAGTTGATTATCAGCTACATCTTGGCTCTGGGGAAAACACTATATTCTTAGATTTTCTTGCTAGCAATTATCAAGCTTGGGAATTTTTCAGACTATACTTCTCTGTTAAATCCTCGTTTCTGTCTTTCCTCATCAATTTTACACTACACCTCTCCTTGGACTCAATAAGAAATTGATTGGCCATTCTTAAATTGATAAACCGAATTTTCCCTAACAGCCCAACCACTGTCATTACTATTCTTTTTGCTGGTCTTCACATTCAATGTTATCCTCACCACACTGGCCTTACAGTATTTTCTCCATGTAAACCCCAATGTTCCAAACAGACTATAAGATGGCCTCCATGACTCCATCTCCTGGTGTTCACACCCCTCCACATTCTCTTCTTCCTTGAGTGTGAATAGAGCTCTGATTTGCTTCTAACCAATATAATTCAGCAAAGGTGACAAGATGTACATGATTATATTCCATAAGACTGTAACAGCCTTATTATGAGTAGATACTCTTACTTACTGGCTTTGAAGAAGCAAGCTACCATAAACATGAGCTACCTATGAAGATGGCCATGCGACAATTGAAAGCAGGCTCTGGCCAACAATCAGCAAAAGAATCCATCAGCCTGTCAGGAACTGAATTCTTTCAACAATGATGTGAGCTTAGAAAAGATCCTTCCACAGTCAAGCCTCACAAGAGCCCAGCCCTCACTAACACATTGATTACAGCCTTCCAAAAGACCCAGCTAGGCCTGCCTGGACTCCTGACCACAAAAACTGTGAGATAATAAATGTGCATTGAACTAAGCTTCTAAATCATAATTTGTTATACAGCAATACATAACTAATACACCCAGTTTGTCTCTCAGATTACAGATTAATTCAGATAGATAAACATAAATTTTATATATATATGTATATATAATTTATATATTTATTTATTTACCAAAGTCCCAGACAATACTACTATTTTAGGTATTGGGTATGCGGTCATAAACAAAACAGAGAAAAGTTCCAGTCATGTCAGATGATAAAATAAATACACAGCATAAGAGTCAAGTTGTGATGAGGGTACTTGAAAAGATCCCTGGAGGAAAAGGTACTCTGGGTAGTGGAAACAGCAAGAAGAAAAGCTTGGACACAGGAGTATGGAATGCTCAAGAAACAGAGGAAGCTAGAGGATAGATCACGGAGGGGCCTTGTAGAGATCTAAGTGTCACAGAAAGCAACTGAAGTGTTTTGAGTTAGGAATGACACACTTTTGTGTATACATACATATACATATATAGAAAGAGAACGAAAAAAAACAAACTCACTGCCATCTAGTCGATTCCTAAGGGGATTGCTTAGGGTTTTCGAGGCAGTAAATCTTTACGGAAGTAGATTGCCCACTTTTCCTTCCATGGAGTGGCTGGTGAGTTTGAACTGCCAACCTTCTAACCTTCTGGTTAGCAGTCAAATGCCTTAAGCACTACGCCACCAGAGCTCCTTTATATATATATGTGTGTGTGTGTGTGTGTGTGTAAAATATATATAAATATATTTATATATATAAATATACACATATATTTTACAGAACACTCTGGTGGCTGTGTAGAAAATGAAAGGGGGTTGGGGAAGAACAGAAGCAGAGAATAGTTAAGATAAAAGGTAATGATGGCCTGTACTAAGGCAGTGGTATTAGACATGGTAAGAGATGAGAGTATAAAAGACATATTTTGAAGGTACAGCTCAGAGCATTTGTTCATAGCTCAAATACAAAGCTTAAGAGAGAAGAATTAAAGATGACATCTAGGGCATTACAATTACATGAATGCTAACATCATTTAATTCCATAGAGAAAAACCTGATTTGGTAAGGAAAAGCTGAGTTCTACTTAGACATTAAATTTTATATGCTTTGACTGCTAACCAGAAGGCTGGCAGTTCAAACCCACCAGCTACTTCTTGGAAGGAAGATAGGGCAATCTACTTCTATAATGATACTGCCTCAGAAATCCAAGGAGGGTTCGTCATGAGTCGGATCCGACTCAATGGCAGTGAGTTGTTTTTTGAGTTGAGTTATTAGAAATTCAAGGAGAAATGTCAAATAGAAAATCAGATACTCAAGTCTACAACTCATGGGAGAAGTTGACTCTAGAGTTCAAAATGAGAGTGACCATCACCTTACACACACACAGGACAGCAAGGGAGCACATACAGAAAAAATATAGATGAAGAAAGGTCCAAGGACTGAGCCTTGTGAAAACAGGAGAGTGAGCCAGCAAATAGAATAAATAAGAGTTGGCAATGAGGAAAAATCAAGAGAGTATAGTCTCAGAGCCACGCTAGTGGTTTCTAGCCAAACAAAAGACAGGCATATGAGTTGAACATTTACCCGAGGTAGATCCTCTCCTTGGAGAGAACAATCATGCCAGAAAGAAGGGCTGTTTATGCACAGAGAGACAGCTGAGGGGGCAGAAGTGCAAGGGGGGATGGACACAGGGAAGAGGTAACTATCGGGAGAAAGTGGGAGGGGAGCTGTTACACTGGGGTAAATTGCAGTCACTGTCATGAGACAAAATGTATGTGAACTGCTATATGGAAAGTGAATTTGCTCTGTAAATTTTCACCCAAATCATAAAAAAAAAAAAAATTTAAAAAAAGAGAGTATAGTCTCAGAGCCAAATAAAAAAAAAGTTTCAGATTGGCAGGAAGATAATCAATTATATTAAAGCTGTTACAACTGAGTACAACTAAGATGAGGACTGAGAAATATTCCCTAGATCTGTAAGATGGCAGTAACTAGTCATCTTAGTAAGTCAAATGGTAGGGAAGAGAGACTAACTAGAGAGGTGTCAAGAAAGCATGAGAAAAAAAAGATATGAAGATAATATATATGGCAAATACTATACAGGCATACTTTGCCTTATTGTGCTTTGCTTTATTGCACTTCACAGATACTGAAGATCCTCCCACCTCCCCAAATTGAGGGTTTGTGATAACCCTGCATCAAGCAAGTCTATCAGCATCGTTTTTCCAACAGTATGTGCTCACTTCATGTCTCTACATCACATTTGGGTCATTTTCATCATATTTCAAACTTTTTCATAACACTATTGCACACTTAAGAGACTACAGTATAGTGTAAACATAATTTTTATATGCACTGGGAAACCAAAAAATTCATGTGACTCGCTTTATTGCAATATTCACTTTATTGCAGTGGTCTGGAACCAAACCCACAATATTTCTGAGATATGCCTGTATAAAAGGATCAGAGGAAATAGTGCAGTAAATTTTAGGGCAGGGGAGTGTTAATGAATGAACTTATGAGAAAAACTGCTCATTCTACGTCTATTTTAGAATGACAGGTATTACAGAATACTTCAAAGCTGTTAGAAATAGGGAAAATATGATGATGCCAGAGAGTGGTGATAATTGTAGGAACAAAGTTCTTGACAGAAAGGAGTGGGATTGAGTGTATGCAAGGAACTTAAGCCTTATATAAAACATACAGGTCATTCACAGAAAAGGCACAGTATATATGCAAGTATTTGGAGTGCACAATGAACTAAAACAAGCCATGTGGGAGTTATATCACCTCCATGAAAAAGGTAAATTTAAAACTAGTATTCGTTTTAAGACAAAATCTTCAAGAAGGAAACAGAAGGTTAATATAACCTTTTAATTACTAGTTCCAGTTAAATGCAAATCAGAAAGAAACAAGATTTATTTTTCCCCTGCTTCTCAGGGGAGCAAAGCCTACCTGGACTCTCCACTCTCTTATAGTGGTATGGGTTGATACAAACTTCTTTTTGCTTAGAACCAAAAGGAAATTCACAAATATCCAATGGCTTTAGCTCATGATGACTCTGCAAATCAGGCCAGCGCCAAACACGACAATAAATAACGTGGGGAAGGCCTTTTCTGTGAGAAACTTGCAGGCGTCCATCTAAAGATCTAGGAATGGTGACACATTTGCTTGGTTGTCCTGGACTGCTCAAGGCTTTCTCCAGTTCCTCCATGGCACCCTTTTTCTTTTTTAACTTTTTCACCAAAGCATCGACTGCCTTTTCTGCCCATTTCTCTTCCTCATCACCTTGTTTCCAGCCCAACAATCGCTTTACTGCTGGACTAGTAAAAGAAAACAAGCTGGCCATTGACGTCATTTGATATAAATCTTCAGAGACCTTCCTGCAACTCAAAAGTCAATGGGAATTGAAAGAAAAGATCATAGATGAAAAGTCACAGACAGCTCCTAAGCAGAAGTTCCAATTAAAAAGGAAGGAGTGACATGTATCTTCATAAGTGCCATCCGATTCTTTCATTGGTTCAAGTCCTAAAAGAGAAAGGAGAAAAAAGATGAGATCTCCAATTTAAATCAATGCTACTTACATACATTTGTTGTTGTTGTTGTTATTTGCCGTCGAGTCGGGCCCAACTCCTAGCGACCCCTCCTTGGGTTTCCGAGGCAGTATCACTACGGAAGTAGGACTGCCCAACCTTCCTTCTGAGGAGTGGCTGGTGGGTTTGAACCGCCAGCCTTCTGGTTAGCAGTCAAGTGCCTTAGGCACTATGCTACCAGAGCTCCCTACATACATTTAAGTCAGTATAATTAAAATGTATGTTATTTTTTCATAAGAGCAAAATAGCATTACAAAGAAAAATGAAAAAACATAAATCTAGAAAGAAATTTTCTCCATCACAAGTTTAAAAATCAAAGTTCTGTGACTGCTCACTTCCCTTCTCATTCACTGACAATACCTAATGATAACCAAAAGCAAATACAGGTTGTTCTACCTCTTATATGTATTATCCAAAAATCAGCCTCTCTATTTTATTTCCTTCGCCAGGCCACTAACTCCTAAAATGACCTTCTAAGATTTGATTTTCAAGTACTTTTTCGTCATTGAAATCTACATTACACACAAAGCCGATCTTAAACATGTATGCTCTCATGCGAACAGGTATGTTCCAATGTGAACATAAACAGAAAAAAAAATTAGCTCTTCCCTAAAGCCATCTTTCTTTTAAAAATGTTTCACAGACTTACAAGGTTTGAGCACACACCATGATAACTTTCAAGTCACATTATTAGATGCAAACTGTATTAAGAGTTGTCATAAGAAAAAAATGCACCAAACCTTCAAACAAATCATAACACATATAAATATTAGAAAATGGGAAACATCTATTATAAAAACTAAGAATATTGAATATATTTTAAGAGAATAAAACTATGATTTAATCCACAAAAACACAATTTGTAATTTTATAATTTCTATTGGCTTCTGTGATACTTTAAGCATGTTATTTTACACTTTAAATGTATTGGATACTGACGTTACTGCCTGCATTGTACATATTAAAATATTTTAAGCCTTGTTTTTATATTAAATTTACTTTTTTCATAAACAGTATTACAATTATGTGGAATGCAATCTTCATTTACTAATGGGAAAACAAACATAGACCAAAGATTGCCACAATGAACCTGTTCCAGGCACTCTGTACTATTAAGAAACTCTGGGTGATGGTAAATAGAAGTGATATGCAGTAGTGCTCCACTGATAAGCATGGGTAAAATCCCTGTAGGTCACTACACAGTAAACTCTAGACGATTAACAGCTAGTAAAATGGCAGGAGTAATGTATGGAAAAAGGGTATCAGTAGCAAAAGATGTTTCCATTCTTGTGCCTAAAATTGCCAACTTATACTGCAGCTCTGCCTTTGACAAATTCTAGCAAAATCCAATTAAAAAAAAAAAAAAAGATTTATAGCCTTGGAAACCCAGTGGGGATAACTATGAGTGAGAATCAACTCAATGAAAATGAGTTTTTATTTATTTATTTGCGTTGACACTAGTCATTGGGTTGAGGACCTACATGAGGGGAAATACCTGTGTTGGGGCAGTTGGAGAAGCTAGACTTAGGGTGGCCTCTGACTTCACTGACTCTGAGCAAGAACTAGATAAACAGCAGTGTGCATCCAGAATGCTGCCAGACCCATGCCAGTGAATTGCGGCTGGAGAACTACATTTGTCTGCTCTAACAAACACACAGCTTCCCTGCATCTAGGAGTAAATAGTCTTTACATTCTCACCAAGCTGGTGGCTAGAGAAGCCCCACCATCACCCATCCAGATCCCTGCCCACCTCCAAGGCAACTCAGCCACCACCAACAACGTATATCTAGCAGACAGAGACATGCCTGCCTAGTGCCTGAGTCACCGAAGGATTTTTTTTCACACTGAATGTGACAGGCTTACCTCTGCAGCCTCCTCTCTCAGAAATGCCCACTCATACCAGGCACCTCCCACCCCTGTGAAAGCAAAGGCCTACGCTGAATGAAATGAAGTTAAGAGGGCTGACACAAAATGCAGATAAAACTGATCTATGCTGTTAGAAGTCAGGAAGGCGGGGTAATTCTTTTGAAGGAAGGTGAAGCTGTGCTAACTACAAGGAAGGCTGTGGGGGTTTCTGCTATCCAGAAACCTGCTGTCTACTTCTTGATCTGAGGGCAGGTTACATGGGAGTGCTTAGTTCGTAAAAATTTGCCTGGCTGGATACTTGTAATGTGTGTACTTTCCTGTATGATTTTAAAACATTTTCTTGATATATAAAAAGTGTACTATGGTCAGTTCTCCTCACACTTCATGATGAGTTCTCCTTCTCATAGGTAATCACTTCATACTTGTCTTTTATGTCCTTTCAGAGAAATTTTACACGTATAAGCAGATACAAAAAAAAAAAAAAAAGGTTTATCCTTTTTATACATAACAAAAACCAAAGTATAGAAAAATGTATAAACAATGTAAGAAATGTAAGAACAACCTTCCACATTCTTTCCACACTATACAGAATTCTATACTGTATCATCTCTCAGAACCTGTATTTTGGGCCCTTAGCTTTCCCACCAAACTTCTCTTACCATTCTCCCTCTAGCTAACATACCATCATCATATCTGACTTCTTGTCCATTTCCCAGTAACTACAACAAGGATATGCTGGTGATTATAACGATGATGCAGGACTGTTTGGGCATTATCCTGTTTTGCATAAGGCTGCCATCAGTTAGGGTTGACTCAACAGCTAATAACAACAATAATAATGTCAGTATACTGAATACTGTTTACTCTGGTGAGGAAAGAAAAAAGATGAGAAAAAGAAATCAAGGAAACAACACCATTTACAATACCAAAACCAAATGAAACACACTGCGGTCGAGTCAGATCTGACTCACAGTAACCCCTTCTTGGTTGGGTTTCTAAGGCGGTATCACTACAGAAGCAGATTGCCCAATCTTCCTTCCGAGGAGTTCCTGGTGGGTTTGAACAGCCATCCTTCTGGTTAGCAGTCAAATGCCTTAGGCACTAATAAACCCCCCCAAATGCTAACATACCTAGGAATTAACGTAACCAGGAACATAAAACACTTACACAATTAAAATTATAAAACATTACAACAAGAGACTACAAGAGAACTAAATTGAAGGACATTTCATGCTCATGCATCAAAAAAAAAAAAAAACACCAAACTCACTTCCATTCCAACTCATAATGACCCCAACTGGATTTCCAAGGCTAGAAGCAGACTGCCTCAACTTTCCTCCACAGAGTCGCTGGTAGGTTTGAACCACAGAACTTTTGGTTAGCAGCCATATGCCTTAACCACTACCCCACCAGAGCAAACTTAATATAGTGAAAATGTCAATATCATCTAAAGTGATCTACAATCCTGACACAAATCCCAGCAACATTCTTTACTAAAATGGAGAAACTAATAATCAACTTTATATGAAAAAGAAAGAAACCCTGAATAGCCAAAGTAATAGTAAAGAAGAAGAAAGCAGGTCTTGCACCTCCTAATATCAAAACATACTATACAGTCACTGTAATTAAAATAGCCTGGTACTGGATCAATGATATACATGTAGGCCAGTGGAAAGAATCAAGAAACCAGAAGTAAATTCATTTATCTATGGGCAGCTAATTTTCAAGAAGGTTCAAAGTCCATTCAATGGGGAGAAAGTCTTTTTTAATAAATGGTACTGGCAAAACTGGATCTCTACTTACAGAAAAATGAAACAGAACCAATACCTTATACCATACAGAAAAAATAACTCAAAATGGATCAAAGATCATTTTAACCTAAAACTAAAGTTCCTGGGAGAATACTATGAGATCTCATCATTTGTAAAATGAGGGTAACAAGCATTAAAAAATGTACAAATAGCAGAAGACAAAATAGATACATGAGACTTCATAAAAATTAAAATTTTATGCTTACTCAAAGTTTTCTCAAACGAGAACCTACAGACTGGAAAAATATCTTGGAAATGGCACTTCCGGTAAGGGTCTAATTTCTAAAATCTATTGAATACTTCAACAAAACAATGACAAAGACAAACCACCCAATTATAAAATAGGCAAAGGACATGAATAGAAACTTTCCCTAAGACAACATTCAAGTGGCCAACAAACACATGAGAAGATGCTCAAGATCACTAGCCATTAAAGAGATACAAATCAGTACTACAATTAAATACCCTATCACCCTGGCTATAATGACACTGAATTTAAAAAAAAAAAAAGAAAAAGAAAACAGATAATAACAAATGTTAGCAAGGATGTGGAGAGATTAGAACTCTTATCCATTAATGGTGGGACTGTAAAGTGGTACAACCACTATGGAATACAGTATATGGCACTTCCTCAAAAAACTACAAATAGAACTACCCTATGATCAAGCAATCCCACTCCTAGGTATATACCTTATAGCCCTAACAGAAATGACACAGACAGACATATGCATATCTATATTCATTGCAGCATTATTCACAATAGCAAAAAAAAAAAAAAAAAGGAAAAATCTAAGTGCCCATCAACAGAAGAACAAATAAGCAAAATGTGGTACATACACAGAACACTATGCAACCATAAAGAACAATGATGAGTCTGTGAAACATAACATGGGCAGACCTGGAAGACAAAATGCTAAGGGAAAAAGTCAATCACATAAGGACAAATATTGTATGATTCCTCTTTTACAAGAAAACAAGAATAGATATATAAAAAAAGAGACTAATGTTCATTGGTAGTTACTGGGGGTGGGATGGGGTGGAATCCACTCTAGATCATAGATACTTGATTACTGGTGATAAAAGTGGTAATGCAGGTGTAGTGAGCACAGCCTGACCAAAGTAAATGTTACTAAGAAGTGCTCAAGAGAAAAGGATGCTTATACAAAATAATCTCACATATATAATTTGGAAACAACTCCAACAAACATTAAAAAAAAAAAGTGTATGGTATGTA